CCTAGACAAGCTGATGGTTCAAATACTGATCAATCCCCCTCTACTACTAGTACAATAAATTCTTGCCTATATGCATACAAGTATCTACAAATCCAAATGAGACATGAAACAGTACACATAAATGTTATAAGAAGCTATTTGATCTTCTGTTAACCGATGCTGATTTTTTTTTAGCTTAGCAAATCTTATTACATTGTAGATACATGTATCCACGGGTAGACTTGACTCTACCAAAATTTGTGAACATATGATAAGAATCTGTAATTTAAAGCTAGTAAAATATACCGCATACCTCTGTTAAAATTCATCATTCAGAGCTCAAACATAACCCCCTTCCCCTCTGGGCCAGGGCCCCACTGTCTTGGGAGGCCCCTTTTGTTACTCCAACCATCCATCAACCATGAAAGGGACAGTTGCTTGGCCTGCAGGGTTTTCGGCTACAAAACTTGATGAAGGCATGAGCCTCCCCAGGAATTCAGGTGTTCCATTTTCTGCTGACAGAATTGTTTATCTAGGGATTAGGCTTCGCCAGAACAATGTACTCTTCACCCAGGCAAAAATTAATCATTACTTTTCCATACATGAACAAGCAACTCAAGGATTTAGTCCCCATTACCTCAAGACTACTCATGGTATTGTTGAACACAAGTTCTGCACGAGGAGTGTGGTCAAGCCGAGAAAAAAACCAACAACACGAAAGGCTGCACACCATCATTTTAACTCGTTTGTTCGTCACAGTTCCCCTGCAAAACAGTTGCAGTGTTTGGTAACCCCCATTTGAAAAACAGCTGGTGTGTTAGCAAAACCAAACAAGGCTGAGCAAGGTCACTACCTGGCCTTCTCTCAGGTCACAATTGCACAACAATATATTGTTTCAGTCTGTCTAGTGCTGGCAATAGACACGACAGGATGAAATTGAAAACGGCTGCTTTTCATATGCAGAGAAGGCGCTGGTTGTCAAACACAATACTGACTGCAGTCAATAGCATCAAAACATCATTGTTCAAACTAAAAAAGTTTGCCACAAATACTTTTCATGGGAACAAAATAATAGCATTTAGAAGTGTTCTCTAAAACACTAAATCAACATTTTTTGCTACTATGTAGCCTGCGAAATAACGAAAACAGAGCCATCAACTGTGACAGAACTAATTCTAAAACCATGATATCACAAATTGAGTCAAAGCTCTGGCTTGAGTTACAACATGCTCAGTACCAAAAGCAAGGTCCTG